TCACAGTCTAAAAAACAGAAAAATTATCTAAACATTTACACTGCGAAAGATGCATGTTTAATTATTTTATAAACCCTCCCTAATACACATACTACATATCGACATATTTCCTCCACTATTCCTCCAGTATAATTATATCATCATTATTTGGGAGTTAATTAATATTTAATGTTTTAATTATTACTATGTAAATGCCACAGACGAGTCACACAATGTATTAAGAATATTGTACTTTTTTATACTATTTTTACTGAAAACTTGTTTGGAACTCTAATACCATTACATACTACACACAAACTAACACACACAAACACATTCTCAGTCCAATGTATTTGAAGTTCTAGCTATCAATTTTTTTTCTGTTTGGAAACTCTTAACATTTTTTCTTTATATCTGGTTTTCTGAAATTCCAGGTACTTTTTATTGGTTGTATTTTCTTTTTATTAAAATTTAGTATGACTTTTTCATGTGAAAATTTATATTCCTCATTTTCAATTTACCTCATTATTTTTGTGATTAAATATTATAACTTAAAACTTGCAAACTCTCAATTTTCTTCCCTGTAAACTACTATTCTACTTTTTGTCTTTAGAATTTGATCACTGTAGTAAAATCATTGACTCAGCATTTTCCACCTCCCCTTTTTTTATATACCATTACTGCTTCTAAAGTTTACTCATGTAATAACATTTGTTAGACTTTTCTTCCTTTTGAAGGGTGGATATTATTCCTTTATCCCATTGTATGCATACAATGTTCTTTGCTTACCCATGTATCTTTCAGTGGACACCTGAGTTGCTTCCACATTTTTAACTATTGTTTGTGATACTTCTAAAAGCATAAGTATAGACAGCTATTTGAGACCCTGCTTTAAATTGTTTGGGGTATATATACAGAGGTGGGATTGCTGGATTACATAATAATTCTATTTTAAATTATTCCTTAAAATTAAAAAAAAATCACTTTTAGTTAGTATCATACCATTTTTCATGGTGACTATACCATCCAACACTTCTATAAGTTTTGCCACATCTTGGTTAACACTTTGTTTTTCTCCCTCTTCCCATACCTACTTCCTCTGTATGGGTAGGTTTATTTTATATGCTATTCATCTTAGTGGGTATGAATTCAGAGCTCATTATGATTTTGATTTCCCTAATGATCAGTGACACTGAGCATCTTTCCATATACTTAATTGGCTATCTGTATATCTTCTATGGAGAAGTGCCTATTTATTCAGCTCCTAATTATTTTATTTACTTCTGTTTTTGTTATATTGTAGGATTTTTTTTAAGATTTATTTATTTATGCAAACAGAACTGGGGTACAGACTAGAGGCTCAGGGGCGGTGAGAGGCTTCACCAGAGAGAGAGTGGGGAACAGAACAGGCAGATCGACAAAGTACACTGCTGAGGGGAGCAGTGGGCGGGTCAGGAGAGGTCTGCCATGCTATGTGGTCACCTCCGGGGCAGGCGGGAATCGAACTCATGTGGAAGCAGCTTTAGACTCTCAGTGCTGTGCTTTAACCCGCTGTGCCACCAGGGAGGGCCACATTGTAGAATTTTTTAATATTGTCTTTAAACAAGATTTTCAGGAGATTCCTTTTTTAATCCTAACTTGTAATACGCTTTACTTTTAGAACCTAGTTATATAAATGCACATGCATTTGACCAAACTTTTTGTTATTCAAATATTTCTATTTCTTTGATGATTTTTCTTTTATATAGTTAAACATAGATTTCAACATTTATTTTTGTTTTATATATCTATCTTCATACTTATTTTGGTAGGTTTCTCAGTCTGATCTTTAAACTTATGAATCTTTTTCAAGAGCAGCCATTTTATTTTATATTTTAATTACCTAAGATTTTTCTTTCATATATATTCTTCTGCTTTTTCCTTCATTCTTTATTTTTATTGCTGTTTTCTCCCTTGTCTTTTTTTTTATCTAATTTTTCTGCTAGTAACATCTATTCCTCATCTTGTCTTTCTCTTGATGTGATTTTATTTTATCCTGTGAGATCATATTCTCAGAGGTATTGGATTCTTTGTCTGATAAGTTATGTTGGGAAATTGACAATTCCAGACTCCTGTGTATGCCAGCTCACATAGACTCCAGGAGAAGAGAAGGGATGAATTCTATGGCAAAACTCACATAATTTTCACAAATAATACATTCTCATTTGATGTTATTATTCTAATGTTTCAAATCAGCTACTGTCCACAGTTTTAGAGAGCAAAGTTCTACATGGATATAATTCATCATCCATAAACCAATATCTTGATATTAATCTTTTCGTGCCAAAATTATTCCAGTAGACTTCCACTGACTGTCTCGTGAATTCCTGCATGGGACTTTATTTCCATATTCAGTTTCTTATCGGGACATTCCAAGCTAGTAAAACTTAGATACATAATGAATGATCAATGGCTATTTGTACTGTATGCCTTAGTTTCTCCTTGGGGAGTTCCACCTTAGGTCTTTTGTAAGTGTCTATTTAATAATAATGCCTTTTAGTCTTGACCATGTGTTAGTTTAGAAGATAATCTATAGGATAAACTATAAAAGGTTATGTGCCATCCTCACTTTACCTCATCCATAGGTCATTTTAAAATAATTAATTATCAAATTGGATGCCAAAAAGATCAGTTATCTTTTCTCAAAATAAAATTTTACTAACAAATTCAAGGATGCAAGTAATCAAGAGGTTTCAGTCAAGCAACAAAAAATCTTCCCTTGAAGAGCTTGCACCCATGTTTAGCCTAGCAAATAGATGAAATCTTTAATGAGGTATAATGAATTTACCTCACATAAAGCCAGGAGTTCACATTATGAAATATGCCTGTCTTGATTTTTAGATAGTTGTACACTCCATATGACATTCTCGTGGGAATTTAACCTCATCCATTAAAAAAGTTAAAAATCATATAATGTCTATTGCTCTCAAACTACTGTAGAATGTACCTAGATAGCTGGAGAACCCACAAATACTTAAACACGTGTTTAAGTAACACATGAATCAAATAATAAATCTCAAGAGAAATTTTTAAATATTTTGAGGTATATGAAAATAAAAATTTCAGTTAACAAATATTCTGGAATATGGAAAAAATAGTATTTGAGGTACATTTGTGGCATTAACTGCATATTTTAGAAAGAAGAACTCCATATTTTAGAAAGAAGAAAGATCTAAAAATAGTCATTAAGATTTCTATACTTGAAAGTCTTAAAAGGTAAGACAAATTGAAAGAAGAATAAAAGATATAATAAAATTGTGAGAAGAAATTAATGAAATTAAAAACAGGAAATCAACAAAGAAATTAAACAAGCCAGAAAAATGGGTTTTTGTAAA